TGGTTAATCCTAGGCAGGTTCAGTGGCTATGTGGCCTTAGAGAGGCCCGTATTGTAAGCGTCCAAGGCAGTCTTAAGAGACGATGAATGAGGTAGGGATAATTTACGCATCCACTCCGGTGGCAGGCAACCTGATAATCCCAGCTCCACAGGGATGTCCACTTCATGAACCTCAGAGAGAGGTGTCAGGGTACTAGGGTAAAGTCCATGTAAGAGCTCAAGCTTCCTCTCGTTTAATGACCATCATGGAGTAAAGTCCTCCCCTGAGATATCCATAGGGTGGACCGTTAACAACCCCTCCCTCATGGTAAACTCTGGCTGAGAGAAGGGTCCGATAGAACAGATACTAATGGTATAATCGGTGGGTTTTCCGTGTCAATAAAAGCATGTCTCCAGAACCGCTAGGCATGTGGGTCTCGGGTTGTTGAGCCGGTAAAACGGTATCCATAGTCCCTGACCCAGACATATGGCACGAGCTGGGCTGGGATTCCCGTGCACGGGTTAATGTGCCAATCCTGTGCGTATCCTGCGGCCCAGTCCCTCTGTGGGGTGAAGTGACAGGGTGTAGGCGACTGGGAGCCGTCACGCACGGCTTGCTCCCGGGGACCATGGTCATGGCATGTGTAGCCTTAGCCACAGACAAGCCAATCCCGGTGTCGGCACTGCCAACACCATCCCCGTCGCCTGAAGCCCTGAGCTACTCCCCATGGGGGGACTGGTCTCCTACGTCCGTCAAGGTATGATGACCAGCTCTGCCGGTCAGAGTAACACTAAGATGGGTAGGGAATGACTTTGACTCCCGGCTCGTGCCATCAGTCAAATCATTGCGGCTATTCTCTGCCGACTTGCTGGAGTAATGTTCCCCAATTTGTTTGTGCAACTTGTTAATTTTAACTCGTTACATATTTCCATGTCCCGCATGGACTTATCCATTGGCGCCTGGATGTCAGACTTAAGGGAGGTTAGCAACTCCGATATAGCTAATAAATCAAGCTGACTTGAGGCAGATTTTGATTTCAACCTAGGTCAGGACTTAGGTTCTGATATAATGGAGGGTGAGGGAGAACCCGAATTACTTTTATTTGGTTTGAATGAATTTCTGGCATTGAATACACTTATTTTTAGACATGTTGCTTCTATTGGGAAAATGGCAGGAAGTTCTAAACATGTAGATCTTTTTTTCAGCCATAAATGATATGCAAAAATGACCAATTTTCTGTAGATTTGATGAAGAAAGTAGAGTTGTAGATGAAAATTTTTTCACTTCACTTCTATACGTCTGTAGTGTAGACCATACAGAAAAATTATGAAGGCTTTTCAAACAACAATGCCGTGTCGTCAGGATCAGGGAGATAATTCAATATACAGATTACGATACCGCTTAGCAAAAGCTATGACTTAGTGTTTTCAGTTTTCATTTCATTTTCTGTAACCACAGGAATAAAGGCTACCATAATCCAGAGGGAATGTTTACGTTATAATTGTGTCGATCTAGCCTACCCAGAAGGTGGGTGACTTGTTGGATACAAAACAGCAAAAACCTATCAATATAACGTTAACTTATAAAACAGTGAAAATCTGCACGGAAACAATAAAACACAGGAATGGTGAACCTTTTATTCAAGGAGACGACACCCAATTATGAACGTTTGTCAACATTTTACTGAAACGGACAGTGACCTAGTTTTGGCTCCTGTCAGTGTCCTTGTCCGTGAGGAATGATAACACTTAATTCAGTCTGCGTCCGTTTTGACTACCTTTTTTGTTCGCAGCCCTAGAGTTTTCAATGTCATGCTCAAAAACAGGAACAAACCTGTCAAAAGTTTTGTTTTCAATCGGGGGTCAAAAAATCATCTTGCAGTAAGTCATTTATAACACTCTCTGGTCAGTGGGGACTTTGGTAAGATGCTGACTCCCTTGATATCGTTTCTGGTGTAGCAGCCCAGAATACCCCCCCACCAGATTATACCCCAGGGTAAACTATAGGCTAGTCCAGTTTATACCCCAGGGGTATATTCTGGACCAGGCCAAAGTATACCCCTCCAGCCCAGACTATACCCCTAAAAAATTATGTTCAATATGAGTGTGTGACTCGGGCAATGGTCTTGGTGTCATTTAAAGGAATTTGTAGGTGCATTTCATTTACATTACTGCATATAACAAAATTTATTAAGTATTTGTTGAGTGCCTCTCTGCAATATGATATTTTCAACTTTGCGTAACCCAGCCATGCAGATATAAAGGTTAGTAGTTAGTTATTTGCTTTATTTAGCGTCGCACACACAACTAAGGTATTTCGGCAACGGGGTAGTACAACATGAACAGATTAACTACGGGCACACTCTACTCATCAATCTAATTAGAGCTGTACCATTATGGAGGTGGGTGTTGTCTATATTAACTCATTAAGGCCGAGAGACACATATATGGGGCAAATTAATCAGCTCCTCACAGCGAGTGACGTGTTTATTGGGCAGGTAATTGGCAGTTTCTCACAGCAAGAGCCACATATATCCGTCAACAGAAAGCACCTCTTATTCAGCGAGAGACACACATGTGTGTCATACTTTAAAAAATCGCACTGTACATATTATTTCAACCAATTTAGTAGTACTGAGCAAATATATTAGCTTTTCTTACGAGAGATGCTACCTTTAATGTCAATCAGAAGAAGTATTTAAAGTGTTTTGATAGCAATTGCTAATCATTATCATAGGCTTATATAGTGTTTGGCAAATGAACACATGTCGACGAGAAAGGTGATTATGATGTTTTTACAGAGGTAAGTGTCTGGTACTCTTCATTGGGAATGGATAATAAAATACTTCTTACGCACATTGATTGAATTAGATGTAATGGTTTCGAGGTTACTGAAGATTATATTTTCTTCAACTTCCTAATAAATAGGAAACAATATACGAAATTTCAAAGACATACAAAGAATTCAAACACAATAGAATAGTTAGAATTTACTTTTTAGTTATTATTACGTTGTCATGTTTCATATCATGAAACATAATGTATTGACACAAATAATTATACATCCAAGCTCAATTAGATAAGACATAATTTAAGTTACTAATTTAAAGCTTACTGAATTGTAACTAGTTATTTTCCATACTCTAAAGTTGATAATGTTACCAGCGCGCCTTGAGCAAGCACTAGTTGTCTGGATATGTGCGCTATAGAAATACCTAATCGAATATAAAGTGATAAGTCGCGCCTTTGCATCGAATATAATACATGTCAGTGTTATTACAACAATGAAATCTTTTACTACGTTTGTCACAAAACACAGTTAGTTGGTAATTCAAAAACTTCTTAGACATAGACACAAGTAATATAAGTTATTACATGTAAACCATACAAAAGTATTTCAAGTATTTTTGTTCAAGCTGTTGAAAGTTTCATGTTGAATTGAATTGTCAGTTTTTTACATGAGCATTATGTAAAACATTTGTATTTGATCTCTGTAATTATCAAATTCGGTGTAACAAGAAGACAAAGTCATCAATATCCCCCGCAATGGCAAAATACTCTTCATGATTATGTCTACGAGTTATGATTATGTCAAATATTTAGGTGTGTATATAGAAAAGTGGAAGGAGAGTATTGGAAGGTTTTGAAAGTTCTGCTCCAGAAAGGAGCACTATCACCAATTTCAGTCTAAGTCAAACTTGTTGCCATGGAAACGCCAAAATATTTTATTCAGAATTCCAAAATTACCAAAAGGCACCAGTACTACCCCATGATCTATGTATGTGCCAAGTTTGGCGAAGAAACATTGAACAGTTTTAGAGTTCTGCTCCGGAGAAGAGCACTACCACTAATTTCAGGCTAAGTCGAAATTGTTGCCATGGAAATGCCAAAAATATTGTATTCAGAATTCCAAAACTAACAAAAGGCACCAGTAAACCACCAGATCTATCTATGTGTCAAGTTTGGTGAAGAAATAGTGAACAGTTTTAGAGTTCTGCTCCGGAAAAGACAAAAGTGCACGGACAGACGGACANCGCGACGGACCCCCCCATTTAATACCCGCAAAACGCGTTGCGGAGGATAATTAGAGGTTGTATTATTATCGTTACATGTCCAATAATGTATCTGTCCGCCTTGACCCGGTCATTGACATTGATTGCAGTTAACTGGGTAGCCATGCTTGCTTACAAAATTAGACCATTTTTTATTACTAAACATGTTGCTAAGTAAACAACGCTATATTGTTAATTAAATATGAAATGGTGCATAAAAAAAGCATGAACATCAAAATCTTGTAGGATTTTGTGTTCTTTTTTAAAATCTCGAATCAGTGTGATTACAGCACGGTCAATTCATCAATGAATTGATGAAATATTATAAATGAATGTAGTGGTGTGAAAGTAGTTCCAACATCCAATGAAAATCTACAAATATACCATCAACCAATCTACTTTGAGAATTACTAAATTGCACACTGTGCAGATATCAAAAAGATATTACACGGGATCTCCTCACTCGTATGGGTAATAATGTGAATTATCAAATGCAGTAGCATTTATGTGTGAATCTCACTATTGAATTGCCAGTGAATTTGTTGTATATTTGGCAGTCGGAAAAGTATGTATTGCATTGTTGTAACAATGATGTATTCAGATGATTATTAGCATAATCACTTGTCTGTGTGTTGAATAACGTTTGTTATTCTGAGTGAAATGTAATGCTGTAATCACTCTGTAAAGTGTAGTCATCCCGAGTGTGTAAAACTCGTTGTGTGTTGAATTAGAAAATCCAATATATATTTTTGTATAGTGTCCAGGACAAGTGTGGTCCCCTAAGGGGCAGTTCCTGTGTGGTCTCTCCTCACCTCGCCTTGACTGACCTGCATGTACTCCGTCAGGTGTACTGACACGTGACTCTCTCTAAAGCTAAATCTATTAACATTATAAGGAAATAATAAGAAAAAACAAAATAAAAAATGCTAATTACAATAAAAACTACTTGAACAGCATTATCAGTTCATACCTGTGTCTGAGTCAATGAGAGGCAGGTGTTTTACATCGTCCAATGTGCGATCCTCCACACTGTCCATAATGCTGGCTTTATGTTGCACCGAACCTGAATCTTCAGCAGCCTCAGGTGTTTTGTGAGAGAACTTATCAGTCTTATGGCTGTCTTCAGAACTGGGTTTGTCCAATGTTTGTGGCCTGTCATCATGAGGTGATTCTTCCTCTCCATCAAAAACATTGTCTCTGTTTTGACTTGTACTTGCCTCTTGTGATTTTGAACCTGGATCAGCTGGAAGTGAATGTGACTGTTGCCTTTCCTGTAATGTTTTTTTGAGTTTTAAGTTCCATGCCACTAAATTCATCTGTCAGGTTATTTACATCATCACTTCCATTACCAGCAGATGCCATTGTAATCTTTGAGCTTCCTTGAAAGAAAAAGGGAAAGAAAGAAGGACTCATCAGTTAACTATGATTATCAAGGCAAGAATATGTACAAACATAACAGAACTTCCATGGCACTGTAGCTCACATGGAGACAAAACACCAGCGCCTTGAGCATGCACTAGTGCGTGGATATGTGCCCTATATAAATATCCAATAATAATAATAACAAGAAGACAAAGTCATCAATATCCCCTGCCACGGGCAAAATACTCTTCATGATTATGTCTACAAGTTTTGATTATGTCAAATATTTAGGTGTGTATATAGAAAAGTGGAAGGAGAGTATTGAAAGGTTTTTAAAGTTCTGCTCCAGAAAGCACTGTCACCAATTTTGAGTTTATGTCAAACTTGTTGCCATGGAAATGCCAAAATTATTTTATTCAGATATCCAAAACTACCAAAAGGCACCAGTACACCACCAGATCCATGTATGTGCCAAGTTTGGTGAAGAAACATTGAACGGATTTAGAGTTCTGCTCCGGAAAAGTGCACTACCACTAATTTCTGTTTTAGTCAAACTTGTTGCCATGGAAATGCAAAAAGTATTTTATTCAGAATTCCAAAACTACCAAAAGGCACCAGTACACCACCAGACCAATCTATGTGCCAAGTTTGGTAGAGAAATAGTGAATGGTTTAGAGTTCAGCTCCGGAAAAGTGTACTACCACCAATTTCAGGCTAAGTCAAACTTGTTGCCACGGAAAAGTCAAACTTGTCAAGCTTGTTGCCATGGAAAAGGCAAAAATGTTTTATTAAGAATTCCAAAACTACCAAAAGGCACCAGTACACCACCAGTACACCATCCATGTGTCAAGTTTGGTGAAGAAATATTGAACGATTTTAGAGTTCTGCTCCGGAAAAGACATGTGCACGGACGCACGGACGGTGTCCATTTTAATACCCCCCGCAAAACGCGTTGTGGGGATAATAATATGCAGTCGGCAGTTTTAAATGTCAAGTGAGTGAGTATGGTTTTACATTGCTTTTAGCAATGTTCCAGCAAAATCACTGGGGGACACCAGAAATGCGCTTCATACATTATACCTATGTAGGGAACCAAGTCCAGGTCTTCGGCGTGATGAGCAAACACTTTAACCACTAAGCTACCCACCATCCCTTGAAAATGTCGAAAAAGCCAGCCATTTAACAAATGTCACTGTCAGCACTGATGTTCAAATATTCTCAGCATAAATGACTGGGACAAAATATGTTTTAACTCAGTGACATTTGAGTGCTGTTTATAATGACATACTATATTTCTATATCGTACCCTCTTGTTCCATTCTAAGGTATGCATAATTCAAACTAGGTTACTAGTCATGCTATATGCAATATTACAATTTATTCCCATGTCTGGAGTGCAGTTTATAATGGCATACAATATTTCTACATCGTACCATTATTTAAGAAATACACTTCGCTCTACCACCATGTATAGTGTAATAAAACTCACTTTTGCCCTGAACTATTATAGTTAAAGCACAAGGACGCTTGCGTCCGAGTGCTTTAACGTTATAATAGTTCAGGAAGTGTGTTTTATTACACTATACATGGTGGTAGAGCTTAACTGTATATTCTTTTCTAAGATGCCAAATTTAATACTTTCTAAGGATAATTACGATTAATTTAAGGCAGAAAACAAGCGACGGTGTCTGTGACCTACATTAACAATCCTCGACAGGGCTAACTGGCTGTTCTATTGTTGTGTCTGCCCCTATGTTAAGGCCGAGCGTTACCAGAAAAAACAAATGATAACAGTTTGATGACGGTTTACGTTCAGCTTAAATATCTTCTCTGAATTATTTTAATTACATCTGTAATTAACGTAAACCATATGGGGCAATATGAACGTTGCATTTCTACTACCAACGTAAGTTTAGATCAGTACATCCAGAGGAAGTTGAGTAGTCAAGCGACATTCCACACGATTGCATTGTGGGAATGTAAACCTTGCTGAACGTTACCGTGTCGCTGAAAACTTGTTAGTCGAAATGACACATTTTAACCGTTGTAAAACATAAACATAATGTTTTCACCAGTGATGTCAGCTGCGTGAAGCAACAGCAAACCAAGAAACGGGATGCAACGGGGTAGTTTACTGTAGGAGGCCGTACGAGGCGATGACAACTGACATGCATCGTGACGTCGCTTACATTGTGACGTAATGTAAAATGGTTCGATTACGAGGGGGCACACTAGAATGGCGCAGTGACGGGAAAACGTCATTCAATTGTTACGTCATCAAAAAACTATACCTTTATTGTCTGATAATGTATTTTTTTTTCGATTGTTCTAACCGCTAGGCATCTTAGAATCCACTCTAATGTATGCATAATTCATGTACTATGTTACTAGTCATACTATCTGCAATATTACAATTTATTCCCACTTACTGAGTCATTGTTTACACCGGTCATATTATCTGTGGTAGGGTCACAGCTCCCGATGTTATTACCTACTATATCCAGGCTATGCGCATGCCGTATATTGTTAACTCAACTTCGAAAGTAGGCACATGCGCAGCTGCTTTCCTTCCACATTTTCGCATTGCCATTGTGTTGTTTGTTCTCGTGATACAGCGTGTTTACTTTTGCCGTCCACCTATCCCTAAACCTTGAACAGATTGCAGATTGCTACGCATATCGTGCGTTGTTGTGATTGAGAGACTGCATCGTCAGTCAGGTGTTAGCAGCATGGAAACTTGCCGTACAAGACGATTGCGCACGAGCAGCACAGCAAGTCGAGCTGAATCGTCGTTCCAAGATGACGGGGCAGCAGGAGTAATACCCAACAGGCGAGAACGCGATACCGATCAACCGTTCCAGACACCTATGATCCCAATCCCAAGAATTGGTACGTAGGCCAATTATGCTACCGAATCAGCGAAGAAACTGGGAATTACGCATCTGCCATTTTCGATAGCAAAAGCACAGCTTCTGCACATCTACACAAAGAACATGCGCAATTTCACGCTGACAGGAAGTGATCGGCCACATTCGTGAACAGACAGCGGGACAGTGGTTATCATTCTTATGTGCCAACATTTCTTATGTGCCAACATTTGCATTACAGTAAAGTGTATATTATATTAGTTATCTCAGTACCAATCTTCAAGCGACAGTGGTTACCATTCTTATGTGCCAACATTTGCATTACAGTCAATGTGTATATTATACTAGTTATCCCAGTACCATATAACCTGTTGCTATTTTTCAATCATTAATCCATTTTTATTATTATACTGCTAGTCTTTGTAGTTGTAGCTCGTCCCCCCATTTACATGTCCAGCCTTATTGTGGGGGCTGGAAGTGGCAGTAGTTAGCTTTGTTTAGTTACTTCACAACCAATGTTCTATGTCCAATAATATTCCATTGTGGTATTATTTTCAGCAGTTCATGATAGTCTTACCAAATAGCGTGGTCATAGGGCTGTCATATAGATATCCATCCATATTGTTCAAGCCTGCTAGGCTACTTGTTACTTTTGGGGGATTCTCATTCTTCATAATTCATCATTTCATATGGAAGTTATCCACTCATTCAGGCGGATTATCTTTCCCCAAAATCTATAAGTACTATATACCTCTTGCTAAGGTATCCAAGCCAGGCATCCCTGCTAGTGGGAGCAATAGGGAGGCAAGCTACCCCCAACTGGTTTACAGCCTTCTATACGACAACTATAGTCATGTAACACTCTAATTACATGTACTCCACTTATATTACAAGAAGCCTGTCGAGCAACCCTCAAACAGGCTCTAATGCCTTGTTCCGGGGCTCGACAGGGTTCCCTCTACGTATATGCATGTCATACTCTAAGTACATGCTATATATCCAGCAAGAGAATGCCCCACTCCAAATATATATTGTGTAAATTATGTAAATAAACTTTGTAATGCATATCTCCTCTTGTGTTGTGTGTCACTGTAAATTATAACTCAGAGACATTTGAGTGCTGTTTATAATGACATACTATATATTTCTACATCGTACCCTTTTGTTCCATTCTAAAGTATGCATAATTCAAAGTAGGTTACTAGTCATACTATATGCAATATTACAATTCATTCCCACATCTGGAGTGCAGTTTATAATGGCATACAATATTTCTACATCGTACCGTTATTCCACTCTACTAACGAAAACATCTACATGTAAACAATTCATAGACTTCGGGCCCTTGAGGCTGTTCCTACAACAGTACTACAGTTACTTTACCCTCGTAAAACTCCACACAGAAAATCAAAACAAAGTGATGATAGTTTGTTAACTCATTAAGCCCGTGAGCCACTTCACTACTCAACACCTGGAACCCCTCGCTGATTGCCCTGCTCGCTGTTGCGAAGCTAATTAGTGCTATTCACACCTGATTTCCCTGGCAGGTTTCGGGGACGACTATATCCCACTGCATTACATGCCGGTGGGATAAAAATATGGTAGATGGGGGTCCAATGCATATGAATCCTCCATTCGTTTGCCAGTAATCATTTAGCACAAACTAACAGATATATTTCCTTTCACTTGTCTCACTCTTTTCAGTGTGGCTGATTGGGTCATCCTATATGGCCAGAGCTCAACGTTCGTCTGGGACGCTTTGGCGTTGTACGTGGTTGGATTCGTGGGGGGATGAGATGGAGGGAACTGGTCCCAATCTTCAAGAGGGAATGCGTCGTTCGACCCCATCCCGCGGTGCTCGTAATCCACCTCGGATCTAATGATATGGTACAGACCATGACCAGCCTTCTCTACCTCGACATCTTTGAGTCGCTGCTGCGGGTGCAGCTACTGCTGCCCAACACGAGGATCTTGTGGTCAAACATGCTACCGGTCGCCACAGGAGCGGTGCCGCCTCATTTTCGGCCATTGTGGGGGCCCGCAAGACCCTCAACAGTCGGGTTGGGAATCGCGTGAGGGAGCTGGGGAGAGTGCAAATAAGGCATGACATTGAAAGTGCTGACAGTTTCATGTTTTCATGTGACGGCG